GTTTTTCGAAGGTAAATAGAAATTATCCTAATAATATTAATTTTCAATTGTTAAACAATATCACAGTCGGTGTATAAATATAAACTATCATATATTTAATGTAATAAGTTTTTTTTTTTTATCTTGTACTGATATTATTGAAAAATATAATTTTTAAAATTAAAATGTTAATAAATTTTATAAATGAATATTTAATTTTTAATAATACTATTTTAATATATTAATAAGATTAAATTAAAGAGAATGTTTTACAAATTAAAAACTAAACTCAATTATTCACCGCATAAGATAATAAGTTGTTACTTTATCAATTGATATTTTGTCAGTATGCTGAAAATGCTTTTTATTGCATAACTTTAAATAAATTTACTAAAATAATGCGAGTTAACATTTTTTTCTTTATTGTTTTTGTTGCAGAGTTGGTTAGAGATAAAGAGTAGAGATACTTGAGTTGACGAGCAACTTCATTAAATTATGTTGTGTGAATGCATCTATTGGAGTTGGTTAGGACATTATCTTGGCCATCATAATGGGAGCAACTTCTTTCCGGAGAAAGTCATAAAAACTCAATTTTTAAAATACTATGATTTCATAGTTTTCTTAGATAATAAATAAAAAATATTTGTGTGAGGATAGTATTTAATTTCTTTTGCATAGTAGTAACATATTTGTTTAATCGGTTATTGTTTTAATCCATATGTTCAATATGTATGCTATGCTATCTAACATGCACCTAGTTGGTGAAAGGGCATTGATGTTCTTAGTCATACTTGCACCTAGCTATTGAGAGGGTAATGTTCTTAGTCGTACTGATCGCTGTGTAATCTACATTAAATTTGATCTATGAGTGCAATTCTCCACCACAAAAAGTTCACTGCTATTCTTGATAAGTTAATGTTTGAGCTTATAATTCTTTTTGGATTTCCTTTTACCTTTTATAATTTTGAGTTAGTCCTCTGTTATTTTCCATGTGAGAATAAATTTAGTGCTTTCATTCATTAACTTACTTGCTATATGATATACGATTGAACATTTGATGTGATTAAGTGTCACTTAAATAGGATAATGTTTGATAGGCAAGTGTACTCAAAAGTTCTTAAATTGAGTTTCCGAATTATCGTCGCACAATGAATATTTTTTAATTACTAAGAATTTCCTAATTTAACTGTTTGAGATTAAAATTAATTATAAAATTAAGAAAAAGGAATACAATGTATGTCTTAGTTGAACTTATCAGACAGAAACCTAGGGCATATGGGTTTTTTTATTCAATCTTTTTATGTTATTTTTTCGTTTAATTCTAAATTTGATTTTCTTGTAATTATCAATCATTCATACAATTACTATCAATATCAAATAATCACAGAATATTAACATTCTTTTCTCTAAACTAACATCCACAATAGTCATGCAAGATATTAATACAAGAAAGCATAAAGCACCTTTGAAGGTATAGTTGCCTGACAATATATTAATTAGGATTATACAATTATGCACAATAGGATAAATACTAATCACATACAAAAATCAAATATATATTCAAATTTTAAAATTTCATAAATTCATAAATAATAATTTTCAAAGCTCTATCTGTGAACTTATTTACTCATGTTGAAGAAAAGAATTAAAACATTCATAAACAAAGTCATAATTAAGAAAAAAAAATAGCAAACTAGAGATGAGATGAGTTCTCAGTCTTCAAGTACAGTCGCTCAAAACTCTATGTCTCACCAAAAGTAGGACAAAGATTTTGTACAAGAGAATCGAGATGAAAGGTGTATCAAAGAGCAAAAGATAAGATATCAAATTTGGTGGTTGAGGTCTCTCTTTAATATGGTTTGAAAACCCTAAAAGCTATGCATAATTGGTGTAACATCCTCATTTCATTTTTCGGTAAATTATGTTTTGATTAATATTAAGTAGTATTAGAATGCATTTAGATGTGAGTTTGGAGGATTTTAGAGGAGTTTGAGTGCAGGAGATCTCGCTCAGGCGAGGTAAATCTCGCCCAAGCAAGATTAAGCGTGCAGAAATATGTTGTTGCAGGGCTATCTCGCTCAAGCGAGGTGATTCTCGCTCAAGCGAGATGAAGATAAATTCGATCCAATTGTCACCTCACCCAGGCTAGAGTGATCTCGCTTAGGCGAGATGGGAATCTCATCCAGGCGAGATGGGTCGCTCAGGCGAGGACCCACAGGAACTTTGAACACCATCTAGCTCTTTGAACACCATCTAGCTCAGGTGAGATGGATCTCGTTCAAGCGAGTATATCAGAAAATAGTGAGCGAGACCACTGCCTACATATCTTGCTCAAGCGACAGAGTCGTCGCTCAAGCAAGATGTCGTCACTCAAGCAAGATCTCCCTCGCTCAAGCGAGAACGTGCGGGGCTGAGGGTATTTAAGAGATTTTTCGCATGAAAAATTTATTTTATTTCAAACTCATGTCCTTCCCTTAAGTTTTCTCTGAACTCTCTCTCCCTTTTACCTATATAAAAGCTTCAGAAACTTCATTTTCTCTTCAAATCCAAGCTGAGGGTATTTAAGAAATCAAATTTGTTAGGGTGAATAATTGTACAATGTAATAAATTCAAATTCTGTAATAAAAAACATAAACAAAAATTGTGCATCAACAAAATATCAATTGATTCATTTGAAACGGAAAATCTTGAAAATTATAAACATCAACCAAAGTACTGTCCTCTAGTTAAGATCAGATGAAAAGATCAAACCATCGATGTACTATGTCAAATTCATATTTTATATAGACACATTTAGAAATATAGTTTTTCAAATAACTACTCCTGAATTTTTCAAGCACCAAATTTATTCCTTATGATGCAAAATTTTAAACTCTCGGAAAATCCTCACAACCATGTGAAGTTACACAGAAGAGTTGCCATGGATCAACAATCATAATTCCACTCTAAATATGAGAAATACGATAAGCATCTTACTATCCTTAAATATCAAGTTTTTTCCAAATAGAACATTAGTATCTAAACAATTGCATTACTATTAGATTCACATGCAGAATCATAGATCAACAATTACATCTTACGTTTGGTATTTTGTTAAATACGAGCTAGATGGAGATCAAAAGGAATTGGAAAGCCTTCAGCAGGATATTGTGCATTGTTTAGTGGAAGAACCTCACGAGAAGATGGCTCCAATATATACTACCAATAAGAGTGTTGTTGACGAGATAGTATTAAAGAGAACGAAAAATAAAATCAGAAAGCATGAGCAAATATTGCTCTATAGGCCCCAAGATATAAGCTGAAAGTTCAACATGACATAAAACCATCTTACCTAAGCCTTCCTATTTCATCAGATCCACTTTTCTCACTATAACTAACTTTTCCACTCGATACGCTACTTACACACTCATCACACATCTTTAATAATTCCAATTGAGCCTTAGATTTAGGTGTATGAGAATACATTATGGATCAAGTTATATCACAGTGCTTCTCCAAATAATATATAGTCCTAGTTTAGATCTGCTACTGCATGCATCCCATTCCCCAAGTTAAGATTTTTCCATTTGAAAGGATGACTACTCATGACTGCGAAGTGTTTGAATAAACTTAAATGTCAATTATAATAGTTTTAATTCAGTAATTATTTTTTTTAGAATAAAAGGTCAAGAGTAAGCAAGAGAAAGGTGAACCAGTTGACAATGCACAAATCACAAATGAGTAAGAGGAAGGTCAACAATAAGAGATAACATTAAAGAAGTCTACAAGATAGACCTACTATTTTAAATGATTATAAAATCTAGTCGACCTGCTATTTTAAATGATTATAAAATCTAGTCTATTTGTCTGAAGGTTCATGATTAAACATTTAACATGATTAAGTGCCACGTAAATAGGATAACAAGTGATATTTATCATGGAACATTGTTCTCCAACTATACTTATGTTGAAATTCAATCAAAATGTTTAATATTCTCAAGTTACCTACCACTTATCTATATATATTTTATTAATAACTATTTTGACTTAAAGCAATTGTTCTTTATCTAATTATTTTCTATTTTAATTTTTTATAAAGCAATTCTTCATCACAAGAAGTTCATTGCAATTCTTCATAAGTTGTTAATGTTTGAGCTTATAATTCTTTTCAGGATTCCTTTTTTACCTTTTTGTAATTTTGAGTTAGTTTTCTATTGTTTTCCATGTGAGAATAAATTTAATGCTTTCATTCATTAATTTGCTTGCTATGTGATAAAATTGAATATTTAATGTGATTAAATGCCACTTAAATAGGATAACAATTGATATTTATTACAAGATATTGTTTTCCAACTATACTTACTTTGAAATCCAATCAAAATGCTTAATGTTTCAAGTGGAATAACTATTTTAACTTAAAGCAATTGTTCTTTACCTAATTCTTTTCTATTTTAATTTCCTATAAAACAATCAATCCACACATCATTTCTTGCTAATACTTCAAAAATACATGAGCTTATTTAAACATATAATATTTAGAAATGAATAAAAAATTAAATTAATAATTATTTTAAATAATTATATATTATTTTTTTAATTATTAAATTACCTTTATATAAAACTCACTAATGGAAGTATCGTTATAGACTTTTTAATCTTTAAAGTGATTGTTTAAGTTGTTTCTCGTAATCAAATGAAAAATTGCATAGCATTAGTAAAGAAAACAATCCTAACATGGAAGACACAAATATCTTTAGATTCAAGAAGTCAGATTTACTTAATTGTTGAATTTTTTTTCTTACCTTTTATTAAAAGCAGAATTGTTATTTTCAATAGTTAAAATGTTGCTTGTCTTAGTCACTCAATTCAAGAAAGATAATCTACAATTGCATTGGAAATGACAAAGTGCAACATTAACTTGGAAGTTTAACCTCTAACTTGTGCACTAAAAGTTGATAGGTAAAGATTGAACTACTAAATAACATTAATTTTAATTAAGGAATAATACCCCACATATTTACAGAACAACACTTAATTTTGTCAAACAATTTATAAGTTGTTGAAAAAGTGTTATAGTCATACAATTGGACCTTTTTTTATAGATATATCAATGCATTTAACACAATCCAACCTATTTTCCTTTGAATTTATCCATGTTCCAATCTAATAGCATTTCCACCAAGCTAGGCACATAACAAATGCAAAACTCAAGTATTTACAATAATTTAATAAATAAATGGGTGAAAATATATTATTAGTGTGACAACGAAATTAAAAATTGCCTTCGTATAAATTTCATCTATCTATTATCTAAAAAAAGAACAAAATCCTAGTAAGAAAAATTATTTTAACTCTAGGTAGACACATTCCTTCTAATGGTGAGCATGCACCACATGAATTATCAAATAATTTTGGACCTTAGGGCTTCCTTAGGGCAGATGCTGCCCCCATCACAATTGCCAGGATAAGGCCAAGACCAGCACCCACAGATGCTCCCACAGCAGCAGAATTCAATGAACTTGCCTTAGCTCTTGCATCTTTGCTCGCATCAATTGACATTGCCTGTTCTCGTGCCAACTCCATCATAAGTCTATCTCTAGCGAATTCCTGTTATAAAACCATTAAAAAGAAATCAAATTTACCAGGGTGCATTATTATACTATAATAAATTCAAATTCTGTAATAAAAAACACAAAAAAATTGTGCAGCAACAAATATCAATTGATTCATTTGAAACAGAAAATCTCAAATATTATAAACATTAGCAAAAGTATTGTCCTCTAGGTAGGATCAGAAGCAAAGATCAAAACATCACTACACTGTCAAATTTATATTTTACACAAACGCATTTAGAAATAACAGCTCCTGAATTTTTCATATACAAAATTCATTACTTGTAATACAAAAATTTTCAACTCTGAGAAAATCCTCACAACCATGTGAGGTTACACATAAAAGTTCCCATGGATCAACAATCAAATTCCACACTAGACTTGAGAACTATAATTTGCACCTTACTATCCTTAAATATCAGGCTTCCTCCCAATAAAACATAGTTCCTTGACGTAGAAGGTCTAATGAGGGGAAGCCTAACAATTCAATTGCTTTATAACCATATATTTCCATGTCTTTAATGTGTAATTATAGTAATAAGCCAAGTTTATCTTTGTAATTATGTTAATTAGGTAACTGAATATTTTATATGTAATTATGACTATCAATATAAATATAAGCTTCGCTATGTAGTTAAAATACACAGATTCATCTATCGTAGATGAACACATGAATACTGGCTAGAAGAAATGATGCCATGCAAAGACGAAACTGTCACAATTAGGAACATAAGGCAAAGCTATAGTGGACAACCACACAGATAGGTTAGGGTGAGTCCAAAGATATGGATTAAATTTGCTTTGATGTTAAACATGAAAATGCAGAATATGTGTTGAAACCAGATTATACATACTTATTCTTGCTACTATGTTTTGAGCCAACGGGAAAGCTCTTTGAGGGAGATGATGCCTTAGGGCCGCATACAGGGATAAGCATTGCATCAAAAGGGAGTGAGGATACCTCATTGAAAAACAATGTATATTTATGCTAGTGAGTAATAATTATATCCATAATTAGACAAGCAATTCATCTCCTACATTGCATCTTAATTAGGGAATTGAGGAGGCGATTAATTTTTCTTAATTTCAGTGAAAAACACTAAAACTACTAGGAGCTTTTGTTCTACTTTTCTGAAAACACATTGTTAAATATAAGTAATTATAGTAATGATGCAAGTTTTTCTTTGTAATTATATTAATTAGGTAACTGAATATTTTGTAAAGATTCTGTAATTATTGTGTAGTTGAAACACAGATTTCATCAATGCTCTTTCGTTTTTCCTTCTCTAAAAATGGTATCTAGAGCCTAGCAAAAGGTTAATTTTAAATCTGTATTGGCTGGCTGTCTACTCATTGGTGAAATTTTTTTTCCCGAAACGGCACTTCAATTTCAATTTCTGGTTCTTCCCACCAAAGCACACTGTTCATCACACATTGTTCCAACATCACTGTCCATCACTGGAATTATTGTTCATCACCCTCATCAATACTGTTCTGGCAACCTTTCTGCCGACAACCACATGATCTGGACCGCTGTCAACACTGATAGAGTCACCATCCCTTCTCTTTCCACATATGTGGTTGATTTGCTTGTTTTTTCTCCCTATAGTTGTTGTTTGGCAATTTTGACACTGTTCACACCGATTTCTCGTGCTGCTGTGCTATCTCATGGCCCAGACAACTTGATTTTCCCCTTCCAAGCTTATGGCTCCAGTTATGCCCTTAACTTCCACTCCTCCCACCTACAATGACTTCCTCTGACAGTACAATGAGCATCAATCCTCTAGTTCTATTGCATTTGTTGCACACACTGATAATCCTTCATCATAATCTCTCATTCCCCCTCTCCTGCCTCATGGGTCTTTGATTATGGGGCTATTGACCACATCACTGATAACAAGTCTCTTTTCTTTTCTCTTTCTACTTCCAGTTATTTACCATCAGTCACTATAATCAATGGGTCTCAAACACAATCTCAAGGTCTTGATATTGTTCATCCTATTCCATCAGTTTCCATTACACTAATGTTCTTTATGTTCCCAAGTCTTCCTTTAATTTGTTGTCTGTTAGTCGTCTAAGTAATTCTCTTGTCTACATTGTATCTCTTACTAAAGACTCTATTTTTCTGTAGGACCAGAGTACTAAGCAGATGATTGGTGCTAGATTTGAGTCACAAGGACTTTATCATCTATATCCCTTTGCTCATATTGGTTTGTTGGTGGACTTTCCTCTTTAGGTTCATGCTCAATTAGGTCATCCCAATCTTAAAAAATTACAAGAAATGGTACCTGAATCTCTCTAAACTATTCACTTTGTCTTTGTGAGTCATGTCAATTAGGAAAGCATAAAAATTTATTGAGAATTACAAAATTATGAGTGAGACTTGTTAAAAATGGAGTGGGAGTCTAAAAAATTAAGCCAATAATAGTGTATTTGAAGTTTGTTAGTGTGTTAATAGCATTTCTCAATGCCACAATAACAGTTTATAGGTGAAATATGCACAAAACAAAGTGATGTACTAGTAGAATTATTCAAACAAAAATAAGATTTGATACCCTGAAAATTAATATTTCCCACCTGAAAGGATGACTCCTCATGACTGCGAAGTACGCGGTGGATTTGCTGACAAAGAGAGTTGACTCCTTCTACTGGAAGAACAATTTCCTTTTTCAAGAAAGGCCTCCTGACAAAGTTAATAGGGGCAAATATAAGCTTTTCAGCACCCACCCTTTTATTAGAATCTGTATTGCTTGCATCCAAAGAAAGAGAAGCCCCAGCAAATCCAGGCATAACGTGTGGACAAGAATTTATTACTTCAGCTGAGCTAGGAGATGCTTGATATACTTTCAATGCAGCATCAATTGCTGCCTTTTGTTGGTGTGCACTAACTGCAAATTTGTTTGTTATTGCAAGAACCCAAGGAATTCCAAGAGATTTAGCTTCATCCAAGAAAAGTGACAGGACTGGCTTTTGTTGAGTACCATTTGAATTGCTACATCGAGGTATGCTATGGGATAGGTTATGAACAAGCACAATCAAATCTGTCTTCCGACTTAGATCTCGGATTCCAAGCCATAGTTCATCCCTAAAGCGAGCAGTTTCCATGTTGAGTTCCTATAAAAACAAATGAAAAAAAGATGCAATTGGACATCACTAAATATATTTGAACAATTCAAATTGTACTATTTATTTGCAACTAACTATGAACAGACACCTACACATGTAAATGGCCAAGCTCTTAAAACTAATCACAAATATGCACTTGAAATACTTGCTTAGCTACAATATTTGACATATCTTGGGTATACGAATATTTCTACAGATTTTGATTAATAAGAATCTATATCCAGCATCCACCTCAAGTTTGTAGGTATTAAAGACACTAACAATAGCAAGGAACTCTTTTTGACCAAAATAGTAATCGCAATTCATTCAAAAATATATGTACTTAACAGATAGATAACACCACAACCCTCCTGAAAACAAAAATGTTTTAAAAAAGTTTCAACCCTTTGGCAACTGCAAAAAGGATGTAGACAAACATCAAACCACCAACAAAATACGGTAGGAAAGCAAATTTTGAATGGAACTAGTAGAAGCAACAGACATCCAAGCAACTACTTAGCATTAGACTTAACACATAAACTAGGGAATAATTAAGAGAGGAAGAACATGCTGGGTCTTTTCTATGAATAATAATAACTATATGAGCATAACCAAGTGAATAAAGAAGAGGACTCTTTGCAAGAGAAATCAAGAAAATAGAGGAAGAAAAACGAGGACCAAAAAAGATGGAAAACCTGCATATTTACTCCTGCAGAGTCGCAATAGCACAAACCATCAGCAATAACTTCTCTCACATCAACCTCTGAAATGATATCCCCATTGGTGGCAGTATTTGGTATACATTTATTCAAGATTGCCTTTAAAAGAGTAGTCTTACCAGCTCCCTACACAACAGCCAACCCATGTAGGTCATTCGATGAATAATTAAAAATGTTTAATACACACTGCCCCCAGAGAAAATTTTGTCAATACCTCTAGCCCTACTAATCGTACTCTACGGGTTCGCACATGAACCTCTTTGGACACAGTTGTAAAATCACTGGTGCAAAATATTAAAAAGTTATTTAAACTTTCTGGACGGATGAACTTATCCTTGTCAACAGGTGACGAACTACTCGCAGTTTCTGAGTCAGCAGAAGTGAAAGAAGGTATCAATGAATCTAATACAGTTTGATTCTTTGGAGGACTTCTGAGTGGAGCACCAACTACTATTCTCATCTTCTGTAAGTCAGGCTGGATTCCTTGATTTGAAGAAAAGTTTGGTGGAGAAGGAAAGCATTCAACTGTAGTTGAACACCTAATGAACATTAAATATAAATCAGACATCTAGGGGAAATGAAGTTATTTTACAGCAAAAATATGCAATGAGAAACAGTTTACGAAAAAATGGTAATGTTATATATATTTCAATTACTAAGTTGGACAGCATTGCAAATATATTAATTCTGTTCCATCCTATGTCACTATTAAAGGAATCTAGATTATAAATATTAAATCAAATTCTATTTTACAGATCAAATGAGAAAAATAAACACCATACACAAGCTCATTCAGGACCTGCATTGTTTAACAGAAGACAGACATAAGCAAAATTATTCTCTTACTATTAAACTACCCCATCGATTGCTTCAGAAATCACCTCTAATCAAGCATTCATAATCTGTGTTACAGTTATATGTAATAAAAGCATTGCACAAATCAAGGGACTTGAGGGGGATGATAATAGAAAACTTGCTTTGATAAAAATTATTCATGCAGAGGAGCAGGATGGAAGCGACTGGAAAATCCTCCAACCCACTGAAGTCCAACGCCATGGTTTTCAATGCTTTTTTAGTAATTTCAAAATATGTTTAACGTCTTTACCCTTTGATACTAATAAAACACATTACATTGATCTCGAAATTCCAACTATCCACATCCCATCCCACATATGAACCACTTGGTCACAACCCTTACATAGCCTAAATGAAAAGATATGATTGATTAATTTTTTCCCTTATAGTATTAATGTCCTGGCAGTTAAGAGTCCCATTTGGCCAAGAAAAGGCTGCTTTTCTGTATCTCTAGGCAAAAGATTAAGTACATTCAGATAAGTAAATTTTCAATTCCCTGTATGGATAAGAATCTTACAGAAGGTCAAGCACTAAAAAAGTCATCACTTAAATAGACCACTCAAAAACTGAAAAGCAGTATGTCTAAACAAATTTCAAATAATTCACAATCAAAACAAAATGCAAGTTTGTAACACAAATTATGGACTTCCTCAAAGAAAATAAGAAACTTTCATGAATTAAACCTACTAGCAAGCACATGAACCATTAGAGATGGGAGTAACAAGACACAACTAATAACAATGATTTCAAAGAAGTATTGCATACAGTTAGGAGTTATTGATGATGTTAAGAGTTAGTGTTAGGTTATTGAGATTAAGAGTTTATGGGCCTGGTCAGGGAGACTCTGGTATATAGATAATCACAGTATGTATGATTCTGTCATGCTCTCTTTACATGGTATCACAAACTTACTTTGGCAGCAAGATACTGCTCTAATGGGTCCAAACAAAGTAAACCTCCGTTGAGCCAGGTATTAAACTTATAAAAGATTGCCTTAAGGAAGAAGGGATGAGTAGTGGGCCTGTGACAATTTTCTTCATTCTTTTCAATTAAAGAACTGAGCCTGTTTTAAATAAGAAAAACGTAGGTAAGAAATAGGGACATATCCTTTTTATTGTACTATAGATGTTGTTTAGGATGACAGGCCCAGTCTTTAATGTTTAGAATCAATAAATGAATGCTAGTTAATGTACTCCTTCGTTTCTCTCACAGGTATGTTAGTGAAATTTAAAAGCATTTGATATTCCCTAATGCTTTAAAAGACCATATTTCTGACCATCATAACTACTAATTCTCAGCCTTGGGCCACCCCCACCTTCCAACCCACAAATCTATACAAATTTTGTTGGTGCTGAAAAATTTTATTAAAAGAAATCTAAACCAATAAATGATTATGTTTTCTGGGTGATGACAATACCAGTTGCCATTCACTTGAGCATGAACAAGTGTACATAGATGCAACCCAAAACCAGTAATATCAACTTTCAGAGGTTCTCCGTTTTTCCCTCGTTGTCCACCATTCCATCCCAATGGAACAATTGAAGTTGCAGTTCGAATAACAGGAGAATCAACTATATGACCAAGCTCCACAGTGCCTGCAGCTGCCAGGCCAAGCCATTGCTGCAGATGAGGAAACTGTTGCCATTGCTCAATCCCTAAGAAAGACAATGCATCCTCACTCATATGCAAATCATAGATTCTGCAACCAAAAAGGGGGGAAAAAGGGTATTATTCCTATAAACCAAACATCAATTAATTATGTAGAAAAGCTTTATCAGAAGCTTCAACAACCAATATTATCCCACTAGGTCAGAATTCAAGAAACTGAAGAGAATATAGCAGCGAAAATATAGACAATAGACAAGACAAAATAGTTTACACGTGACATAATGTTGGGAAAATGTATGCATAGGATCATTTAAGCACATAATTATGGAAACTATACAAGCACTCAATGATAAGCTAACCTTTGAAATCGAGATCGATATGATTTCATTGAATGTGATTGAAATCTTTCCCTCAACTCAGCAATCACTGATCTGACCTGGAAATGTCTTTGCCAAAAGAAAGCAAACAAAATGAGAGAACTTATGTAACTGTATTCATACATATAAAGTTGGAAGATAAATCCTCAGCCTAAGGGAGAGTTGAACTATATCAAAAATTGATAAGCAATGTAGAAAAGCTCATACCGATGTCAACTTCGAGTACTCTGCACCTGATAGAGACTCAACAGAGGAATTTCCCAATAAATAAAGCTGTCTTACATGAAACAGGTTTTAATGAGTTCAAAATTTATTAAAAGAAATAAAGCATGCATAGTATATAAAAATATTGAAAAAATTGTACACTCGTTGAAGAAAAACTAAAAATAGAAAATATGGGATCATTTTACTCCTTTGCTATTGATACCATGAAGAAAGAGATGAAGAGCATAGAGAGAGAGAGAGAGAGAGTAAATGAGCTGGAGTTGGATACTCTACTATGTGTAAAGACCCTAATATATATATATAGAGAGAGATGTACATAAGAAACCCTAAGGGCCGAGTTTCATTACAACTACTCATAACAATATAACCTAATCCTAATAAGATTATTCATAACATTACTAAAGGTTACCTTGCTTGTATTACTCATTTTCAATCAAATTTATACAATGAAAAGCTTACATGATGATGTTTCTGACTACGAGCACTAGTGTCACATGGATAACATTATGATTTTGCATTAATCTTCAGAGGACCTAATAGTTAATATTGGCATGGACCAGCTTAAAGTTAAAAATTGTCAGTCATGTCAATTGAACTAACATTGTCATCATGAATTAATGATTGCTGGCTAAATGAAATAATTGTACTCTAGTTGGGATCAGCTATTTCACTCTGAAAAAATGCTATTGTAGATTGCTCAAACTAAGTTAAATAGAATCAAATTACTTATCCTAAAACCAGAAAATGCAGGTAGCATTCACTGTCATATGAATCATATCCAAGATTTCATTTCATAGAACAATGATGAACAAATTGAAAAGGATTGTCATGCTGAAAAAATTTCTATGTAAGATGCTAGAAACAAGATAATCATATCATATCCCAAAAAACAAACTGAAGAAAGCGAAACAACTTCTATGAATCAGAAAAGGATAACAGACGAACTACCTGTATGAAAGTATACCATACTTTTTTTTAATAAAAGAATACACTAATTGAAAGAGAAGGTGATCAGTAATCAAGATTGGAGGCACAACATCCTCCATAAACAGAAAAGTAGAATGAATATCACGCAGAAGAATGAAAATAAATAATGAATGTTATTAAGATGTCCCACATTAGTTAGGATTAGAGCCGAAATACTCCTTATAAAAGCTAGGGTAATCCTTCTCCTATGAGCTAGCTTTTGGGAGTGAGTTAGGCCCAAATTTCTTAATAAATGTCAAGCTTGTTAAAACATTTAAAAAAAAAAATTAAAACTAATTTTTTTATTGTCTTTCAAATTACCATGTTTCAACCAAAAAAGAATCACACGTGATCTTCTCCAAAATTAAGGACTCACCAACCTAATCATAATTTGGCTAGTAGTTGACTAATTTACAAATTAACAGTCGAGAATTTACAAATTGTGGTACAGGGACTTCAATAACTTCCTCCCATTATGTCAAATGTAAATCAGACACAACAGCACTACTTTCATGATAGTTGAATTAGTCATAAAAAAGATATAACACTGGAGGATATAATAACATGAACAAGCAATCCAAAGTCCAAACCAATACTAAAAACCATCACAAATTAACCAGCAACTTGTATTATAGGACAAATCAACAGCCATTTTACCTGCAAGCACAATAACAATATGACAATAACATGCAAACACTACCAAGAAATAGTAAGAAATTTTTTTAAAAAATCATGTATAGAATCTTTGCTGACTGCAAAAGAAAACTGAAATAAAACATCACTGCATAACATCTACCTGTCCGAATGGCACATATGAAGGTAAATAAGGCACTCTGCGCCATTTTCTTTCATCTCCAGTCATGGCATTGCCCTTTGTATCTGATTTCCCATTTGTTGGAACCTCTGATGATCGTTTACCAGTCTCAGGAAAAGGCTTGAGTGATATGACATCAGAACCCTCTTGTATTTCAAGCGACTGTGGCTCAACTACTTCCTCCTCAATCAAAGTATTAGGAAGAGAATCATGCAATGAATTTGTTTCAACAAAACTGGTTCGTTTTTCTCTGTGTTTACTAAATTGTCTTCGTAATCCTTCCAAAGGAACTAACCTTGAAAGTCTCCAGAAGGATCTCTGCACCGGACCTACCCCCAAAACCAACTGCTCTACATCATTTCCTTTTGGCTTCCCTACGCCTTGCTCTTGTTTTCTAAATAACGAACTGTTAGTTTCATTTTCAGAAGGAACTGGCTGTGTCTGAGCATTATAATGGTGAAAATAAGCAGGAGATAAAATACGCGGAACCAAATCCTCTGGAATGCAATAACTCTTGAAATAATGCTGCCAGCCTTTTCTATTAACATAGCTGGAAAGAAGAGCAATTAAAGGAAAACAACTAATAAATATCCCAGTTTGAAGGTTTAAGAAAAGGATCAGCAGTTAACCAATTTACAATGGGAGGAAAGAAATACAAGGAAAACATACTCCTTCAAAGCAGCATTTCCAACAGGAGGTTGTGAAAATGTAATACATTTAATAGGGACATTTTCCTTTGACGAAGATGAAGCTGCAATTACTCTCAAAATGGCAAGAGTAGCTAATGCAGCTACCTGCGTAGAATACAAGGAACATAGGATATATAAATTGTTCAAACACATATGAAGCTATGTTTTGAAATCCATCTGGATGAATCAAACTCACTGCTCCACCAAGTGAATGGCCACATAAAACAAGCTTGCGTTTCTTCTTTTGAGCAAGCCTATATAATTCTAAAGCAGGTATTCCTTTAGCACGAGCCATGAAACCCTAAGAAGTAATATGAATTATGTAAGAAATATTGGAACCAAAAGACATAATATTTACACAAATATTATTGATATCACAATTGCAAATTATCCAGAACATGCAAATTAAACAAGTCTAAATTTACCACACAAAGAAGTACAAACTATGACAAGAATTTATAAAATGGTTAAATTTATCTATAGGTTGCTTTACATTTTAGAAATATTCAGATAAACTCCCTATAGTTTAAAATTTGTTGTTGGATCCCTATAGTTTCAAGAGCAACAAAAAACAATTATAATAATAAACAGTAGGCTGAATTCAAGGAACCTGTCAAAAATCTTTATGAAATTAATAGGACCATATTACAACTTTTAAACTACAGATCTATTTGAAAATTTCCGAACAGTATGTCTACCAATTAATTTAATTGAAAAAAATAAATATATTGGGAAACACACTTATTTACCCTATGAGCAGCAGGTTTGTATTTACTCTTCAGTTGTTGAGACCTCGATTCCAGAGGATTCCACATATATTCTTTTCCATTTTGGTTCTCACCCTTATCAAATTCAGTCATTGTACATTCGTCAGATTCCTCAACAGAATCATCATGAAAAATGGCACCTTGAAGTATATTTGCATCAGCAATTACATCCCTTTCATCAAAAAAAAAAAAAAAGGTTAAGATTCTGGAATTTGTAATGATTTTAAAGGCTTGCTCAAACAAACACGTGGAGGCACTCACTTGTACTGCTTTGTTCCTATAAAGGATGCAAATAAAGTGTCTCCTGCCTCTGCCAACAGATACCTGCAACAACATAATAATCAAGTATGATACGACAACACCAATCAAATAAGTATTTCATCCACTACATAAGTATGACAACAACCCTAAGCATGATAGATCATAAAATCAAATCTTATACTACATAATATTCTAAAGTCTAAGAAAAAAGAACATACAAAAAATACTTGGGGTCACATGATATCATAAAATTTAGGGTACGTGATAAAACAACTATATTTGAAAACAACTCTCAGAAATAAAGCGCACAACCAATTGATATCAAAAGATCCAAATAGCCTCTTCTTTTATGCCAAATATACAATCCAAAGATATTCTAGATATTCAAGAACACAATAGAGAACTTTAATAAAGGATAAAAGCCTCCCAATATCAAAATATTTAATAGTATATTGGCTTTTATGAAATTAATATAAGATTAGAAGAATGATTAAGTTGTATAAAGAATGAGTGAAAACCTATGAGAAACATGATCTGATGAAGGTTGCACCCGCTCCAAAGCAACAACTTGTCCACCAAAATCAGCCTTAAATTTATTTACAGCTCGAATCATCTCAGCAGCAGGCCTCTATGTCATAAGAGAGTCACAAATAAATGTGAGCAATATGTTGATTTTAGCTTCGCATATATATTCAAGCAAGCATAGTACACAAACTAAACTTTCAAAGTTGTTATAATTACTTGTATGATACTCGGGCATATACCATGCAATTAAGTCCAAGATAATAGAATACCATTATATTTTCTAACGCCGCTACATTAATAGCATTTAACTAAACACTACAGCATAATAAAGATTCAGGAATCAATCCTAAAATGAAAGAGAAAAAATATTTATGTACAGCAAAACAGAACCCAAATGAAGTACAGTATCAAATTGTGACAGTAATTACGTACCATTAGGTTCAGAGCCTGTTCATTTTAGCATTTTCTCAAGAAAAATCACTAAACTGTTAAAATTTATCATGTTTGTTTAAGCTTTTGAAAATAATAAAAGATTCTGATTATTTTAAGTAGCTCCTGAGAAAGTGCCTAGCTTGCTTTTTATAAATATAACCAAACAAAAAATATTTTTTACTTTACATAAAATCTCAAAATGTACAAATCACTTCTTTATACATTCTTAAAATTACACCACTCCATTACCACAAACTATAAGAAAAATGAGTTCCTCATGCAATAACTAGTCAAACTATCCTTCTCCATTCATAATTAGCATCCTAAAACCACATTGAAAAAATTTTCTCTCAGAATCAGTAACTCACTACCAACCTTTCTCCATTCATTTTCACCAATCTCACCACCATATTAGTGTTATGCAAAAAGAAAAATATATTGAACAGGTTTAGGAAGTATTCTGGAGGCAAAAATTATAAGCATGATAGATAGTGGAGGTATAAGTTGTGATTTTAGAGTGAGTTCAAAAAGAAGAAATCAGGAAGATAAAGTATTTAGGTAGTATTAATGTATGATTATTGATTAATAAATGATTTGAGAAGCTGCTATAGAGCACAATTGAGGAGGTGATGTGTTAGCAGTAGGCCCAAACCCCCATTTAGAGAAGTCTATGTAAGGAGGTCCAAAAGAGTGAGAGAAGCCCAATTAGTTGAGGATAATTGTAAATGACAGAGAATAAATAAAAAAGTTGGGAAGAAAAGGGGGTGTGCTGTTAGACAATAGTAATTCGGGTGGGAGAGACCAGGCTCTCATAGTCTTCGAGGTGTTCTTTGTATTCATTTGATTCTTCCTCTAATGTGAGTAATTCTGCCCCAACAGAGAATATTCAATAAAGAAAAGTTTATCCTTCTGTTTCTTTCTTCAAGAACTGAACCAGTTCCTTACAACTGATATCAAAGCTCTCAAACCTGGGAGATTATTAGTGGTGCATACAAGAATGGTGGCCAGATTAGACAGTATGGAGTAAGGGTATGAAAACCTATTAAAGAAGCTCGAGGAGAACAGGCAAGAAACCCAGGGACGGTTCGATGAATTGATGTCGACAGCGGTATCGGAGGACAGTGACAATGAGAGCAAAGGGAACCCAAGCAAGGGCAGTGGGTTGAAACGTCAATCCAAAGGAGATTGGTGGAGGAAATTAGAGATTCCCCTATTTTCTGGAGACACGCTTATGGGTGGGTTAGTTGAGTAGAGAGGCACTTTACTTTAGTGGGCATCTCAGAGCAAGAGAAGCTGCAAGCGGCAATGGTAGCAATGTAGGGCAGGGCACTAACATGGTTCAATGGTGGGAATTTTGTTCCAAGAACCCCACTTGGGACGATTTCCCAACAGCTCTAATAAAGAGATTTCAGCCCGCAATGGCACAAAACCTGTATGAAATGTTGTTGGGTCCATGGTAGTTAAAATTGTGATTTTAAATGTAAGATCATACGATTTTATGATTTTCTCTTGCCTCAGTGATCCCAATCACACTCCCTGACTCTGTTTTGCTAGGATCTTAAGATCTTACTTGCGAGATCGTAGGATTGAACGAATTTCCGGAACCTGCTTGAACTCATTTCTTTTGAAAAAAAAAAAACAACAAATCTGACCCAATTTTCATTGGCCCATTAGATTAAAGACTTCCACTCATTCATTTTGACACTTTTCTTGCCAAAATTTCCAAACCCCTTGGTTTTTCTACTTCTGGGTTGAACTCCTAGTTCATTTTCTTGTGGGTCCATTTAGAGAAGTCTATGTAAGGAGGTCCAAAAGAATGAGAAGCCTAATTAGTTGAGGATAATTGTAAATGACAGAATAAATAAAAAAATTAGGAAGAAAAGGGGGCGTGCTGTTAGACAATAGTAATTTGGGTGGGAGAGACCAGGCTCTCGTATTCTTGGAGGTGTTCTTTGTATTCATTTGATTCTTCCTCTAATGTGAGTAATTCTGCCCCAACAGAGAATATTCAATAAAGAAAAGTTTATCCTTCTCTTTCTTTCTTCAAGAACTGAACCAGTTCCTTACAACTGGTATCAAAGCTCTCAAACCTGGGAGATTATTCATGGTGCATACAAGAACAGTGGCCAGATTAGACAATATGGAGTAAGGGTATGAAAACCTATTGAAGAAGCTCAAGGACAGGCAAGAAACCCAGAGACAGTTCCATGAATTGATGACCATCTTCAATCAAAAGAACCAGGAAGATGCGATGTCAACAGCAGTATTAGAGGACAGTGACAATGAGAGCAAAGGGAACCCAAGCAAGGGCAGTGGGTTGAAACGTCAATCCAAAGGGGATTGGTGGAGGAAATTAGGGATTGCTCTATTTTCTAGAGACGACGCTTACAGGTGAGTTAGTCCAGTAAAGAGGCACTTTACTTTAGTGGGCATCTCAGAGCAAGAGAAGCTGCAAGCGACAATAGTAACAATGGAGGGCAGGGAACTAACATGGTTCAATGGTGGGAATTTTGTTCCAAGAACCTCTAATAAGGAGATTTCAGCCCGTGATGGCACAAAACCTGTATGAAATGTTGTTGGGTCCATGGTAGTTAAAATTGTGATTTTACATGTAAGATCGTACGATTTTATGATTTTCTCTTGCCTCAGTGATCCCAATCACACTCCCTGACTTGTTTTGCTAGGATTGTAAGATCTTACTCATAAGATCGTAGGATCGAACGATTTTTCCGATCCTGCTTGAACGCATTTCTTTTGAAAAAAGAAAACCAACAAATCTGACCCAAGTTTCATTGGCCCATTAGATTAAAGACTTCGACTCATTCATTTTGGCACTTATCTTCACCTTTTTTTTTTTTTTTCACTTATGCACACAAAATTTCTAAACCCCTTGGTTTTTCTACTTCTAGGTTTGCTTTTGGGTTGAACTCCTAGTTCATTTTCTTGTGGGTTCAACTACTCCTTGCTTTGGTTCAGTTGCTATACTATTTGGTATCCTGGATTTAAGTTTCTGATCTCTGCTAGGTTACATTCTTCTAATCTGTTTAGTCATTAACAAAAGTCTTTTAAGTGGGAAAGAAGCTGCTAGGGAGGATAATGGGAGTTCAGGTGCTGCTAGAGTTGGCAGCAGCTAGAGAAACTTGTGTGTGATATGTTAATCCTTGGTATCAAAAGACCAAATGTGAGTCCTTATTCTAGTCCAATCATTCTTATTAAGAAAAAAGATGGGGGTGGAGATTTTGTGTGGACTATAGGGCCCTCAACAAGATTGCAGTTCCTGATAAGTTTCTGATTCCCATAATTGATGAATTGTTAGATGAATTGGGGGAAGCAATTATTTTTTCGAAACTGGATCATAAATAAGGCTACCACCAAATTTGAATGAGAGAAGATGTACCTAAAACTGTGTTCCGGGCACATGAAAGGCATTATGAGTTTGTGGTGATGCCCTTTGGATTAAACAATGCTCCTTCAACCATTCAATCATTAATGAATGAGGTGTTACGCTCTTATTTGAGAAAGTTTGTCCTTGTTTTTTTTTTATGACATACTAATCTACAATAAAGGTGAGGAAGAACATGCAAAAAAATATTCAGCTAGTGCTGCAACTTTTGAAGGAACATCAATTATTTGCCCATAAAAAGAAGTGTACTGTCAGCCACAAACAAATAGAATATTTGGGTCACATTATCTCAGCCTAAGGGGTGGCAGCAGACCAAAAAAAATTACAATTATGTTGACATGGCCAACTCCTAAAGACATGAAGGCGCTACGAGGATTTTTGGGCCTTACAAGCTATTATGAAGGTTTGTTAAGAATGATGCGGGCATTGCCAAACCTCTAACACAGCTACTTAAGGACAGTTTTCAGTGGGGAAGGGAAGCTCAAGAAGCTTTTGATGTTTTAAAGGGTGTGATGGCTGAACTATCAATTCTCATTGTTCCAGGTTTTACGAAAAACTTCATTGTGGAGACAGATGCCTCTAGCAGAGGGTTGGGGGCAGTTTTATTACAGGAGAGCAGACCAATAACTTTTCTCAGTCAAAAATTATCAGCGAGGACCCAATTGAAGTCAGTCTATGAGAGAGAGTTGATGGCAATCTTCTTAGCAGTACAGAAGCGGCGACATTATTTGATGGGCAGACATTTCATCATTCATACAGATCATAGGAGTTTAAGAGTTTTGAATGATCAACATTTATTTGGTGAGGAACAACTTAGGTGGACTTCTAAACTGATTGGATTTAACTTTGAAATAAAGTATAAACCCGGCTGCCGATGCACTGCCTAGAAAAATGACTTATGCAGCCATCTCTAAGATTAAGTTTCAGGTTTTAGAAGAATGGGCTGAAGAGGTACAAGTTGATCCTAAGCCAACAACGATTGTCCAAGGTCTCCTCCAAAATTCAAATGCAACACAGGATTTTCCTTACAAAATGGCAAACTAATATATAATGGGAAGTTAGTTATACCCAATGAATCTTCACGGATTCCTATATTACTTTCTGAATTTCATAACTCACCAGTGGGAGGTCATTCAGGTTTTTTCAGAACATACAAAAGGGTATAGCAGCTTTTGTGTATTGGGAGTATACTAATAATAGCCAGATTTTATTGAAAATGAAATATTTATTACATTTTATATCTCCAAAGTAACAAATGCTTTTATTTCCAATAAAATCTTACTATTATTAATTGCTTAAACTCAATCCTAAAGCTACAAAACTGTACTTATAATTATCCTTAGGCCAAAAATGTTACTAACACATTCTCTCTTGATTTTTTCAAAAAAAAAAAAAAAAACTTTATCGATAAAACCTCAAATTAGTAGTTGAAAGATAGGGGATCTTTCAATGTAGTCCTTTAAAGAAGAAAATATTAAAATTAGACCCTAAATGTCTGATTTGTCATTCATTTTAGTTCATTTATTAAAATATGTCCATTAACTCTCACAGAGATAGAGATGTGACACATTAAATACAATGTGGCATGCCAATATATCTCTAATTATGTCAATTAAGAATGTTACAATAAAACAAGATGATTTAGAGAAATACTTTATTTTCAAGCACATTCTTAATGAAATGTATACAAGGGTCAAAAATGAAATGTATTTTTTTAGTCACCTTATGTTATAACATTCTTATTTATCATAATTAGAAACATATTACCAGTCACATCACTTAAACGAGCTACGTCACAAGGAAATAAGCTGAATGACATACCACGCACTCAAGGACTAATTTTAATATTTTTTTCTTTTGAGTACCAAATTGAAGGACTCCCTCTCGTTCAGAAACTAATGTGAGGTTTTAGTCGTTCCTTAACCAGCAAACTCGACTTATCTTATTTTCAGAAATAACAAAAAAAAATACAAAAAAAAGAAACTTAGAATTGAAGAAGCAACAAGAAGAACCTTGTAAACGCATTCAGAGAGGACCATGCAACAGAGAAGGTCCTGCAAGTCGGAGACTGACTCAGCCTTGAGGGCGAGGCAGAGATCGTTGAGTTGCTTCCTCCGACGGTGGTACTCTTCCTGGATCCGCTTCTTCTGTTCGCGGTGTGAGGTCCATGGCCACTTCATGCGCCACTGTAGTGGGCCCCACGAGACCTTCAGCCCCAACAGCTTCGCTCTCTGGTCCCTGATCCATGGCTCCACGCGGCTCTGTATGAACTCCATCACTCCAATTCCTAATTCCAACAGGAAATGCCCTAATTCTATTTATGTTTATAAAGAGAGAGAATCTTATTTTGTTTAGATTTGGTGTGGTGCGGCGGAGAGAAGGGATAAGTAAAGGGAATATCCCTTCCCAGTGGTTAAGAACGGGAGCGTGGGGTCCACTCTGGGTTCACATCTTCCGGATAGTTTGTTTTGGCAGTTGCCTTGTAGGACTCTCTTCATTTTTATTTTGTTTTTTCAATTTTATGTTGTAACATTTCTGTATCCATTATTTTATATACTGCAATTAATAATGTTTGTTAAGTAAGATTATGCGTGAAATTATTTTTTTATTAAAAATTCATGTATACTTTTTTTATGTAAAATTTATTTTTTTTCTTATCAACACAAGGTTGTTTGATTCAATGAGAACAAAATTTAAAATTTTACATAGATATCAATAATAGTTAAAGATTCATTAAAAATATATGTAGACATCACTCAAAATAATTCTATATAGATAATTTTTTTAATTATCACAACCAAATAAAAGAAAATATTAAACATGTATATGCATATATATAGTTTAATTTTTTTTTAAATTGACTCAAATTCATATAATATCTTTAAATAGATAACCTCTCTTTTTATTTTTAATACTTACATTTCCCATAGTCAAATTCTTGAACAGAAGCGTAATCTCTAATAATTTTATATGTATAATTTTTTAAATGCGATTGCTAAGGTGTCTACAAAATTTGAAGGGTCTAAATGTATTACATGCTTAAAATAAATTAATATAGATATTTAATTATTTTTACATCATTTATAATATGTTTTTAAAAGAGTTGTTAAATTAATGTTTTTTTAATTATGATAATTAGGGAAATAATCTCATTCAAATCAATTCTAACTAAGAAATATGCTCGTGCGTTGCACATTTTATTTTTTATTAAATGAATTTATTTTAAAATAAAAAATATATAAATATAATAAAAAAGTTTATTTATCAACATAAATTATTATTTAAAATATGCATAATTTATTTTTTTTTTAACATAAAACAAAATAGCATACAAATATCTTATTTTTAAAATATAAAAATAAAATTTATATTGTTTCATGATATTATAAATCATTCATTATTATAAAATTTTAAATAAATAATGATAACAATAAATTATTAAATATAATAAATCTTTTAATATAAATTATAAAATTTAAATAAAAGGCCTTATAATTTTTTATTTATATATTTATTTATATTTGTTAAATTAAATTTATATAATAAACTATCTATATGTAATTATAATTAATAACTATTAATAAAATTTTACTATATAATTATTAAAACATAATATTATTTTTTTAAAATAACTTATCAGACTAATATATAAAAAATAAAATATTTATTCAACTACTGTATTAAATTTTAAAAATCAGCTTTGTATATTAATATACACAAAATTATATGTTAATATTTAAAAATAAAAATATATTAAACTTTTTATATATAAATAAAATTATTATAAAAAAATATTATAAATAAAAATTAATAATAATTTAATATATATATATATATACTGAATTTAAAAGTTTATTTTTTGATAAAAAAATATAAAATTCAGCTTTTTTAAATGATTAAATTATTTTATATTTTTTAATAACTTAATGGAATTAATATTAATTGACATTATAAATAAATTTTTATTTAATAACTAATTAAGTATAATAAAATTATGTTATTTAGATCATAAAATTAAAATAATAAATTTATTAATTTTTTTATATAATTATTTTTTTATCTTTGAAAATAATTAATCCAGTTTGTTTATTATTTATTATTTTAATTAAAAATTAATAAAAATAAATATATCTATAAACTAATTTAATGATGAAATAATATTTTAAAAATTTTATTAAAAGAATAAATATTAATTTAAATAAAATTTAAAATGCTATATTATATTGCCAATAAAAAAATAGATATGTTTTAATTATTTTGACGTAGATATAGTGAATTATAGATTTAATTTTTGTTTTTAAATATATTTATTTGTCTATCTCTTTTATGCATTATCTAGTTCTCCAAAAAAATATTAATATTCAGTGAATATGATTTAATTTTTTAAAATTAAAAAATATATAATTTAAGAATACAACATAATAAATTATTATATTAATAAAAAAAATATTTATACTGATATAACCATCAATTCTAATAAAAAAAATTTAAATATAATTCATTAAATTTAATAAAGATTCTTTAAATACAATTCAAAGATAATAAGTATGAATAAAACATAATTTCAATCGGTAAGTTTTAGAGTTTATAATAAGTTTTACGAATACAATTCATCAAATCTAATAAAGATTCTTTAAATATAATTTAAAAATAATAAGTATAAATAAAATATAATTTCAATCAGTAAGTTTTATGTTTTAAATTTTAATGCAAAAAGTAATAATTAGATGCAGTTAATAAGAGTGACTTTATAGGTCCTGAATTAATTCTTTAAATACAATTCATCAATTCTAATAAAAATTCTTTAAATACAATTCAAAGATAAATAAGTATGAATAAAATATTATTTCAATTTATAAGTTATACTTTTCAAATTTTAATGCATAGAGTAATAAGTGAGTGCATATAAGAGTGAGTTAAAAGGTTCTGAATTTTAATGCATTGAGTAATAAATAAATAGAATCACATATATAAAGATAACTATATACATTTCATACATAGGGTAATAAGTAGATGTAATCAATTTTACATATAAATTGATAGATAGATAGAGATATAGATATAGATTTTTTTTTTAAAAATTAAGTTAAGTTTATTAATTACATTTTAATTCTTCTTTTATTTTGAGTGTTCTTTTTATCTCCATACAATTTTTTTTCTTAAAAAAATGAAGATGACAAAATGGTTAAATTCCATAAAAATCTTCATTTCTTTATTAAAAAGTGTTGATCAAGAATACATGTTTTTAAACACGTACATTCCATATTGATTTTTCTATCAATATCAAATAAAAACTTCACTCATCCATAAAAATTATATCTCGTCTAAGATGCCTATATTAAGCAAACATGTATTAGATTTCGTCAAAAGTGATTGTTATATTGTGTAGGCATGTTTTCTATATTAAAAACATTAAGTTGTTTTGCTTGTATAAAATAGAAAAATAATCAGAGTTCTCATTTGTAACTATTTTATGCATGGAGAAAATTATTCAATAAGTAAGATAGTTTTCAAGATTTATTGTTTTAATTCATTCTACAGCCAACCATTTTTGTTATAGTTTTTAGTATGATTAAGCTTTCAAAACATGCTAAAAAATATTTTTTTAAAAAGGCTTAAGTTTTAATTGAGTAATTTTATAAAATTAGTCTTTAGGGTTATTATATAAATTTAAACTATTAAAAATAATATTTAGAAACAATAAAAAAATATACATGTCATGTAATGATGTACAATATAAATTTACACGTTTTAATTTCACATTAATTTGTCTATTAAATGTATTTAAACTCCCACCATAAAATCTTGTTTTTTAATTGTCACAACTAATTTTGTATAGTTAAGTTTCTAAACTTATCGATCAAATATGTTTTAAAAACTACCAACCAAATCAAATAAAAGGTTTTGGGCTTATTTTTGCTTAAATTTATAATAAATATTCATTTAGATGTTTTTTCTTACTCTATATTTTTTTTCAATCATATGATCATATAGTAGTTAAAATTTTAGAAATTATGTTTAAAAGGTAATAATTTATTTTTAACTAATTTTTATTTTATATTTATTTTAATATTTAACAATTTAAATATAAAACTAACTATTATATATGTCAAGATATAGTTGACTAACTCCTCTTCACCATAAGTGCTTTATCTAGCAGTGACACATCAAAATTTTCTTGAATAGTATTTGTTGACAAGTTTACCAATCTAAAAGTATTAAAAGAAGTTCTTAAATTGAATTTCCAAAATATTGTTCTGTAGATATTGCTTTTAATTATAAAAAATATCATGATTTAATTGCTTAAATCAAGATAGTGTATAATAAAATAAGAGAAATTGATGAAAGATGTAAATTAAAGAGAATAATTAAAAGAGAAAAAAATATCGTACAACTTTTGACAAAAACAAATTATTTGAGATAAATTTAGTGCATATGATTTCTCTTTTACACCTATTTATATTTATTTTTAATTTAACCCCAATTTTAGTTTCTAATATGAGTGAAGACTTTGGCCTAGAACAGCAGAGAACTAATGGGCTGAATAAACGGGGCAATTCTACTAAAACTGACCAAAAGTCCAAAAGAAAAACTTTAAGACTCATTAGTTGAGATGAGTACATCCACTAAGAATAATATTTTGTTATTTGATATTTTCTCATGACTCATTATTAGATTTGTTAATCATTCTGTTAGAGATTTGTGTGAGCTGTATTCGTATTATGCGAGAATAGTTAGCATTCTTAATTTTTTGTCTTTACTGGAGGCTTGGTACCTCGAATACCAACATTCTTAATTTTTTAGCTTCTATCAATTTTCTACAATCGTCAATTACTTATACTAAAGCTACTAACACTCGATACACATGTAATGTTAATATTATTTTTCCTAAGTTATCACTTTCAATAATCATACAAGGTAGAAGGATGCGAAAAACATAAAAATACATGAGTTTACTAATTTAATTACCAATTAAAAGATAAAAAATAGGTTTAGTCCACTTAATTTCTTATTATATTTTACTTTATAAATCTATTAACTACATGTAAGACAATCACTATCATGCAATCAACTATGAGATGCTAAGAATAGTCAATTTTCAACATGAAAATATACACATATTAGGGCAAACATCAATCATTAAAAGAAACCAGAATTATGACTAAATAGAAAGATTACATAAAGTATACAAATGATTCATCATAACTCTAATTATAAATTTAGCTACACATAACAAAATAGGCAAAGAAAACCATATTCATTCAAAAAAGAAATATAAACTAGAGGAATCTTAAACAAAAAAAAAAAATGAAGAGAATTCTTGTTCTCAAAACGCACTCTTGATCACTTGTTTGGACTTTGAAAATGTTTTCTTTTTTTCATTAATGATCTCTACTTCCAAATACCTCTAAAAGTCATCAAAAGTCGGTCAAGCAAAAGT